TTAACTCTGTTTTCTCCTCCACAGATGCTGCCAGACCTGCTGAGCTTTTCCAGCAACTTTGTTTTTGTTCCTGATTTACAGCATCCGCAGTTCTTTTGGTTTTTATTTAGTGTCCAAAAATTTGTCAGCTGTACAGGTGAAAAAGTCTGTGGGCCTTGCAAGCTGCTGAGGTGGAAGAATGCTGCAGCTGCGAGGTAATTTTAGGCATGTCACTGAAATCTGATCACAAACACATCAAGATCATACAGATAGTGTCACTGCCCCAAAATACCTATGTTAAACATACCTATGTTATACAGGCATCTATCAGTCTTCATTTGCCAAGCACTATGGTAGGGGAGAATTGACAATTCCTTAATAATAAATATCACATAGGTGACATGCACGCATGTCATTGGACACCTGTTTTAGGATAAAGGTGTGTTTGGCACCAGCATGTTTGATTGAGTGGCCCTCTTCAGGATACCCTATGCAGATTCTGAACAGGGAAGGTGCTAGAAAAGTTGCCCTAAAAAATAGGCTGTCCCATTTTCTCCTGCCTGGGAAGCCTATGGAACCATCACCTTAGGCATGAAAGGAAACTCTAAATTTTGCAATTGGTAATGTTAGAACACTTCTGGACAACATCACGAGCAGCCATACGGATAAAAAGAATTGCAGTCATATCACGTGGGCTATCAAGACGTTGCTGCCCTCAATGAGACTTACCTTCCTGGGCAGAGAAAGTTGAAGAGACAAGCAGGGGGATCCATTTTCTATTGGAAGGCAACAATGACAGTGACCCTCATATCCAGGGAGTTGATTTTGCCATTTGGAATGGGATCTTAGATGCAGCGCCAGAATTCCCCAATTTTATAAATGTACAGCTTGTGATACCACACCTTCAACTGTGGCTGTAATTAATATGCCCCTGCTGTTAGCATTTAGGTCCCAATCCTTGATTTATTGCTATTCTTTTATGGCACGTGAGCATTGCAGTATGGTCAGCATTTGTTGCCCATCCCTGCTGCCCTTGAACTGATTGGTTCTCTAGGCTACTTAAGAGGGCAATTAAGTTTCAGCCATGTTGATGTGGGTCTGGAGTCACATGTAGGCCAGATCAGGTAAGTATGGTAGATTTTGTTCCCACAAGGACATTAGTGAACCAGATGAACGATGACCAATCGAACCATGGTTGTTGCTAGATAAAAAGGTAAGTATCAGGGGTTTTAATGCATTTAAGAGTAAATAAGTCACCATAGTAGATAAAATATATTCCAGACTGTTAAGAGAAGCAGGGGAGAAAATAGCTCTGACTATCATTTTCTAGTTCTCTCTGGCTACAGGTCTATGTCCAGAAGGTAAAATACCATTTTTGCATGTCTCTCTTTCACAATGTCCTGTAGGTGCCTCTGACCTGTGTGGCACTTTTTGGTTGGTGTTTTTTTTTCTCTCCAGGTGAAGTCCAGGGCCTTTACAAAAGGCATAGCTGGTGGAATTTGTCCAACTTTTGCCTTCCAAGTCTCACTACCGTAGATTGCAGTTGATACCTTGTGCAGGTGTTCCTTGTGAAATGATCTAAGTCCTGCCCTATCTGAAGGGTTCTATAAAAATGTATGTTATTGCTGTATCAATATATACAGTCTATGAATGAATTAAGCTGTTTTCACAAGCCTGAGTTTCTACTGGCATGTAGGAAATTTAGGTCATTATGCATTAACTTTTGTCCAAACACCTTTTAAAGTAACTTCCCTTTCATTTGTTGGTTAAATATACTATATATATTGATTCTTGAAACTTAGAGTCATAGAGTCCTACAGCGTGGAGACAGGACCTTTGGACCAAATTGGCCCATGCCAACCAAAATGTCCATCCACCACTAACCCCATTTCCCTGCACTTGACCCATAATGTTCTAAACCTTTCCTATCCATGTATTCGTCTGAATGCCTTTTAAATGTTGTTAATGTACCCGCCTCAACCACTTTCGCTGGCAGCTCATTCGATATGCATACTACCCTCTATGTAGAAAAGCTGCCCCTCAGGTTCCCATGTATTCTTTCCCCTCTTACCTTAAACTGATGCTCTGTAGTCCTCAATTCCCTAACCCTGGGAAAAAGACTGAGTGCAGTCACCCTATCCATGCCTCTCGTGATCTTCTACACTTCTATAAGATCCCCCGTCAGTCTCCTACACTCTAGAGAAAGAAGTCCTAGTTTGTCCAACCTCTCCCTATAACTCAGCAGCACCCTTGTAAATTTCTTCTGCACTGTTTCCAGTTTATTAACATCCTTCCTATGGCAAAGTGACCAAAATTGAACACAATACTTCAAGTTCAGCCTCACCAACGTCCTGTACAACTGCAACATGACATCCCAACTTCTATACACAATGCCCTGATTGATGAAGGCCAGTGTGCTGAAAGCCTTCTTCGTTGCCCGTCCACCTGTGACTCTACTTTCAGAGAACCATGCATCTGAGCGCCAAGGTCCTGCTGTTGCACTACATTCCTTAAGGCCGAACCATTCACCATGAAACTCCTACCTTGATTTGATTTCCCAAAATGCAACACCTCACATTTATCTATATTAAATTCCATTTACCATTTCTGGATCCATTTGCCCAGCTGATCAAGATCCTGCTGCAATTTCTGAGAACCTTCCTCACTGTCCATGAAACGACCTATTTTAGTACCATCTGCAAACTTACTAATCATGCCTTGTACATTCTCATCCAGATCATTGATATAGTTAACAAACGGCAATGGGCCCAGCACTGAACCCTGAGGGACACCACTAGTCACAGGCCTCCAGTCCGATAAGCATCCTTTCGCTATTACTGTCAGCTTTCTACCATCAAGCCAATTGTGTATCCAATTTGCCAGCGCTCCCTGGATTCCATGCTGTCTAACCTTCCAGAGTAGTCTACTATGTGGAACCTTATCAAAGGCCTTGCTGAAATCCACATGGACTACGTCCACTGTCCTGCCCTCATCAACCTTCCTGGTCACTTCATCAAAGAACTCTAACAAAATTGTGAGGCATGATCTCTCATGCACAAGGCCATGCTGACTACTCCTCATCAAACCTAGTTTTTCCAAATGCATATATATCTAATCCCTCAGTAACTTACTACCACAGATGTTAAGCTTAAAGGTCTGTAATTCCCAAGTTTTTCTTTGCAGCCCTTCTTGAATATGGGCACAAAATTCACTGCCCTCCAGTCTTCCAGGACATCAACTGTGGCTAACGATGATGCAAATATATCAGCCAGGGCCACTGCGCTTTCTTTAGCTTCTTGCAGGGTTCTTGGATATATCTGGTCAGGACCATGATATTTATCCACCTTCATACATCCTAATATTTCCAGCACCTCCTGTACTGTAATATGGACTGACCCAAGATATCGCCACTAACTTTGCCAAGTTCCCAACTCTTCATGTTTTTCTGCACGGTAAACACAGAGGAGAAATATTCATTGATGACGTTGCCCATCTCCTGTGGTTCCACACATACATGTCCTTGAGGGGTCCTATTCTCCCTAGTTATTCTTTTTCCTTTAATATACTTAAAGAATCTCCTTGGATTCACGCTAATCTTCTCAGCCAAAGCTATCTTGTGCCCTGTTTTCGCCCTCCTGATTTCCTTCTTCAATAAACTTCTGTATCCCCTCTCTGCCTCCAGGGATTCCCTCGATCCCAGCTGCCTGTACCTGAACCATGCCTCCTTTCTTCTCGTCAAAGCCTGAATATCTCTTGTCATCCTGTGTTCTCTATTCCTGCCACACTTGCCCTTCACCCTCACAGGAACATATAGAGTTTGAACTCTAGCTATCACACTTTTAAAGGCCTCCCACTTGCCAGAGGTCCCTTTACCTGCAAACAAACTACTCCAATCAACCGCTGCAAGCTCCTGTCTAATTCCATCAAAATTCGCCTTGGCCCAGTTCAGAACTTGAACCTATGGATCAGTTTCATCCTTCTCCATAACTATTTTAAAATTAGTATAACTAAGGTCACTGGTCCCAAAGTGCTCCCCCACTGTCACCTAAGTCACCTGTCCTGCCCTTTGTCTCAAGAGTAGGTCGAGTTTTGCCCCTGCCCGAGAAGGACCCTCTATATAGTGCATGAGGAAATGTTCTTGAGCACATGTAACAAATTCCATCCCATCTGAACCCTTAACACCATGGCAATCCCAGGCTATGTTAGGAAAATTAAAATCCCCGACTATAACATCCCTATTTCTCCTGCAAGTCTCCGCAATCTCCCTGCATATTTGTATCTCTAATTCCTGTTGACTATTTGGGGGCCTATAGTATAACCCCAATAACATCGCCATTCCCTTCTCATTTCTTAGCTCCACCCACAAAGCCTCACTGGATGATCCCTCAGTTATTTCATTTCTGACTACTGCTGTGATACTCCCCTTAACCAAAAATGCAACTCTTCCTCCCCTCTTTTCTCCACCTCTGTCCTGCCTAAAGCATGTGTACCCTGGCACATCAAGCTGCCAGTTCTGTCCCTCTCTTAGCCACTTTCTATAATGGCTATAATATCTCAGCCCCAAGTACCTATCCATGCCTTGAGTTCATCAGCCTCACCTGTCAACCCTCTTGTGTTGAAATAAATGCAATTTAATCTAACAGGCATTCCTTGGTCCCTGAACTGTCCCAGCCTGACCTGTCTCTTGAACTTGCTATTTCTGATTACTGTATCTCTTTCCTGTCTCGCACTTGTCTCCCTGCTGTCAAGGAACCCACTCCCCTGCCAATCTAGGCAGGTTTTTAAAATGATACTTTAAAGAAGTTGTTGCTATACACCTCAATCTCAAGTGGATACAAGGAAACGATTAACTCATTTTTTCCCCTCCTTTTTAGTTGGAACAGTATATGGATGAGACTTTTATCAAGCAAGCCTTTACTGCTATGGGTGAGCCAACTGTTAATGTGAAAATCATTAGCAACAGAATGACTGGGTAAGAAACATCTATAAAATTTAGTTAATTTTTTGGAGCTGAGAGTCCTGGAGATGTAACACCAGCACAATCAATGTGTTGATGTCTTCACCATCTTTATTAAATATGAAATGGACTAATGAACTTTAGTTTGTGTGAAGTTTGGACAGGCTTGTCTTATTTTCTTTGGTTCAGAAGAGGCTGAGAGGAGACCTAATCAATTGGATAAACTTATGAAGGATCTCTATAGAGTGGAAGAAAGGTCTATTCTATCTAATTAAGAAATCTAGAGGTTTTATTTCAATGGGTTTTTTTTGTTTTCATTCAGTATTAGGGCTTGAAAATTCACTGTGTGAAAGGGTGGTAGAGGGAGAATCCCTCATTATTTAAAGAAATATAAGGAATGAAAAGATGGAAAGTGAGATTGGTCTTTATCAGTCAACACGCATGCAATATAGGTCAGTTTTCTTTGATTTTGTTCTTTCTGTCATGATTTTGTCTCACAACTCAGACTAAGGAACTGCAAAAGCAAATTTCTTATTACAGATGTTTTAATGAGCAGTAAGTTTGCTATTGAATTCATCAATTGCTTCAGATATTTGGTGAGTTAAAGTCCCAAAATACTCTCAATGAAGCCCCAATTGATAATTCTAATCTTTCTTCTGTGAAGTCTGCAGAAATTTCAAGGCTGACGTTCCTGATGTTTGCCCATCCTCCTCTATATTTACATTACCAGGGAAGAAAAGAACAGGGAAAAGAGGTGACAATCTGCTTTACTCAATTTTCAGTGAGAGGTGGGGTGGTGCTGCAGTTTTGGTACCCAATTAACGGTATTGTGGTGGGAGGGGCATTTACAACGTCTCATTTTGTTTATCTGAAGTAGTATTTGATGAGTGCTCCCTCAATGAAAGCATCTAGTGAAGCAGGATTTTAAGATGTTCCTCTATCTGTCAACTGTTTGGCAAAGCCTGTAATTAATCATGCATCTAGAGGCAACTATGGTTTTCTGATTGTTGATCTCCATCAGTATTCAGTGTTTTCTGCCTGAGAAGCTTGCAGAATTACTTAAATTTCATCCTCCTATAGTCTGAGTAAGTCTCTGCTGTGTGTCACCCTCTACCTTGGTGCTCTAGGATTAGGTTAATAACCTTGCCGTGGACAAGAGTAGCACAGTTGGGTTTGCTGCTCCTGTCCAGTGCCTGGAAGGTCTACCATTTCATTTTCAATGACTGACATATAGGCCACTAGTGTGCATGATAAATTTGTAGTACCATATGTTTTGTCACTATTTCTGAGTGTGCTGACTATCTTCAGCAAATGGAGGCTTTGCTAAAACTTAAACGTTCTACTGTCAAGGATGTGCTGTGCTGTTAGAGCCTTACACTGAATGATCCCAAGTTGTTTCTGAAGGAGGAGGTAACATTACAAACTAAATCATCTCATATCTCCCCTTTGCAATTCCCTGTAGTTGATTGAGCTAGAATGGATGATATGCCTTTTTAGTTAGGGAATGTTGCGCTGATGTGGGTAACTATAAGTACTAAAGAGGAATTATATATAAGTAAATAAATGGATCTGAATTCCTCATTGCTGCTCTGTCCCTACTAACAATGAAATGTCTCAGTGCATTTTTATGCTTCAATATGGAATATTGTGTGGACGTTGTTTGACAACATGTGCATATGGATGTCAAATGTAGCCATGATCATCCTGGTTGAAACAAAAGCTGAAAATGTTGGAAACACAGCAGGTCAGAAAGTGCCGCTAAGGAAGAAACATAGTTAATTTTTAAGGCCCGTGACCTGTATTGGTCTCATTTAAGTGTCCGTATTAAAGTATCCTATCAACACTCATGAGGCTTAGCCACTGAAACACTCATGAGACTGAGTTAGCACATGTCTGGCTTTGGCAAAATGGTACACTTGCAAAATATTATTTACATATTTAGCATGGAAAGACTTGCTGAATACTGCAATCAAAACTATTACAGAATATAAAATGAAATGTTTTGCATAGCTCACTCAAAATTCAGCTTTGAAGTATTGCAATTACAGATGTGATTGCATTGTTCTCTGTGGTCTTGTAGTGGTTGGTGTTCTGTACACTAATGTCTGGTTTGATTTCAGAACACTCGCAGGATATTGCTTTGTGGAATTAGCTGACCAACCCACTGCTGATCGTTGTCTTCATAAACTGAATGGGAAGCTTTTGCCAGGTTCAAATCCGGTAAATCTCTTCACTGGACAGTTCTCATTGTCATACGCTCAGTTGGTAGCTCTCATGTCTCAACATCAGATATTTGGACTTGTCTAAAACTTAAGCATAAAATCAAGGTTGATACTCCAGTGTGGTACTGAGGAGATGCTGCACTGTTGGAGGTGCAATCTTTCTGATGGAGGTCCTATCTGCCCTCTCAGGTGTACATAAAGATCCCATGATACTATTTCAAAGAAGAGCAAAGATTATCCCTGGCATCCAAGCCATTCTATCCCTCAGTCAACATCACTGAAACAGTTTTGTTTGATTCTTACCATGTTGTTTGTATGAACTTGCTGTTTGTAATTGGCTGCTGCATTACAACAGTAACAAGACTTCAGAATGTCTTAATTGAATGTTAAAATGCTTTGAGGTATCCTGTGATTATTGGAAAGTATATAAGTGCATGTTTTTCTTTTTACTGTGCTTTGAAATGGATACTGATACAATCCTAATTTTCCTTGTTTTATATGTACAGCCAAAGAAATTCAAGTTGAATTATGCAACCTATGGAAAAAAAACAGATGTAGGGTATGTATTTTTGTCCATTTTAACTCTTTTCCCCCTCCATATTCTATTATTTTCCATTCATGCAAAGTTTCATTGGGTGTAAGAGGAGAATTGTTGGAAACAGCACCCTTTAATGAGAAAAATCGCTTGTAACCAAGGAATCAAGGAAATTCTAATTCAATTAATCATAAAATGACAAAACTTTCAAATCTGAAAGCACTCTAAAACACTCTAAACTATAGCCTAGATAACAAGGTGCAGAGCTGGATGAACACAGCAGGCCAAGCAGCATCAGAGGAGCAGGAAGGCTGACGTTTCAGGCCTAGAACCTCTTCAGAAAGCTGTGTTCATCCAGCTCTGCACCTTGTTATCTCAAATTCTCCAGCATCTGCAGTTCCTGCTATCTCTAAACTATAGCCTGTACTGTTTCTAAACTGCAGACTAGAAATTTATAGAAGTGGTTTATAATTTACATTTTGCAAACTGGTGCCATATAAACTAACATTACCCAATATTTGCTATATGCAAGGTATGATGTAGTATTGCACATAATGCAATGATATAAAACAAATTCTGCGGTGGGTTAGAACATACTTGTCCTGTTTTTTTGGCTGTGAGTGACATTGGGATTGTGATCCCCTGTCAGCATTTTAGTTGTACAGGAGTGGGATGAAAACTAAATCCGTCATATATAAATGGCATAAATTAAGGCTGCGTTTTATACAGGTGGAAGCACTGACTGGATACTTGTTCACATAAAGATATACTTGGGTGTTTGGCCTGACTTCCTGCTTCTTTTCTGTGGTTACATCCAATACAGGGCCTCCCTGGAGAAGGTGGGTGTCTACTGATATATTTGAGGCCTTCCTTGACTGATGGATGCTGGGGGAGGGTGGGGCTGGAGTGCATCATTGATACCAGGAATTATGTTTTGATTTAATCTTAAAATGTTTGTATAAAGTTTTTGTTTTTATCACATTCGATTTTATTGCTGTTTCACTCAGGCCACTTAAGTGATTTATTGGTGCCAAAGAGAGGTTTAAAGAGATTATTAATGACGTGGGTAGTGGGTTGCAGAGTTTAAAGGTATACATTCGTCATGTCTTGCTTTGTGAATAAATCTAAAACTGAGTAAAAATTGATGTTTGATCTCATTCTTTTTCATTTAACACAAAAGACATTTAAGATATTTAACACAAAACAGATTAGTCTCGCATTTTATTCAAAGCATTTTCAAATACAAGCAGCCAGGTTCAGTTGAAGTCTTCAAATCATGTTTCATTCTCAAGATTTTGTGTTATGGAATTGTATTGCAGGCCTAATTCAAAATAACTAAATTTTTATCTATAGATAAAGAAAATCATTGAAATATTACCTAGAATCATTGAATTGTGACAGAACAGAAGAAAGCCATTCACACTGTTGTGCCTGTGCTGGCCCCTGGAATGAGCAAGTCACCTTGTCGCACTCCCCTGCGTTTTCCTCATTACCTTGAAAATTTTGCTTTTCAGATAACTGTCCACTTCCCTTTTGAAAGTCTCAACCATGCTGTACCATACACTAGTCCAGTGCATACCAAATCCTAACCACTCACTGCATGAATTTTTTTTCCTTATGTCACTATTATTTCTTTTGTCAATTGCCTTAAATCAGTGTCCTCTGGTTCTTGCTCCTTCCACCTGTGGGAACAGTTTTTCCCTAACTAATCTGTGCTGATCCCTCATGATTTGTATACCTTAATCAAATCTCTTAAATCCTCGTCTCCAAGGAGAAGATCTGCATTCGTCCAAGTAACTGTCAATTTTGGCCTGAGCTATCATTTCTAAAGGCTTCCCCATCAGAAGTTAAATTACTTGACCTGTAGTAACTCACCTTTACAGCCTTTTTTGAACGAAGTTGTAACATTTAAAATTCTCCACTTTTCTGGCACCATCCTGGAGTCTGAGGAAGATTGGAAGATTGTGGCTAGTTCCCTTCCAATTTCTACTCTCACCTCCTTTACTATCTTTGGATCTTTCTCATCTGATCTTGGTCCTTTATCAACATTCAGTACAGACAGCCTATCTAATACCAATTCCAAATCAATTTTAAACACTTCAAGTGTTGAACTACCTCCTCTTTCAATGTGATCTTTGCAGCAGCATCTTCCTTGAAAAAAATGAAAGAAAAGTACTCATTTCATACCTTCACTATGTCCTTGCATTCATGGGTAAAATCTCATTATGGTCCCTAACTCTCCCTTCTTACCAACCATTTACTACTTATATGCATATAGAACACTTCTGGGTTCCGTCTTGTGTTAGCTGCCTGTCTGTTTGCATACACTGTCTTTGTTTTTCTTATTTTTCAATTTCCTTCTGTACTTCCTATATTTAGCCTGGCTCTCAATTATTTGATCTATCTGGCAACTTCTTATAAGTACACTTCTTCTGCTTCACTATCACTGTCTCTTTTGTGATCCAGTCAGCTCTGGCTTTGCTTGCCCAATTTTTCCCTTTATGACAATATACTTTGAGTCTACTTAAACTGTATCTTTAAAGGCTACTCAGTTAGTTTTGCGTGTTAATCTTTGGTTTCTATTTATCTGGGCCACATTCACTTTTACCCCATTGAAGTTGACTTACCCCTCGTGAATTTTTCTTATTCCAGATAGTCCTTTGTTCTTTTCAATAGCCAACCCAAACCTTATAGTCACAAGCCCTAAATCTTTCTGCACTGGCATGTGATCAATGCACCTCATTTTGAAGTACTAGTTCTAGCAATGGCTCCCTTATCTTTGGATTGGTAACACATTACTGCAGAAAATTTTCCTGAACATGCTCCAGAAACTCTTACCTCTCGCTGCCTATGACTACTGCTACTCTTCCAGTCTTTGTTCAGATAATCTTTGTCAGAACTGGAAATGTCTATGAACCAGCAGTTTTTAAGCATGTACAGAGTCAGGGAAGGACAGAACAAAATGGAAGGTGTGCGATGGTGGAACATAGGTGTGATTGGGTTAACTATGATGAATTTGTTTTTGTTGTATCAGTTTGTTCTCCAGGAGCCGGTACTCAGTGAATGTTGTAATATTCAGTGGAGAGACATTTGATTGTTCCAAAATGTTAGTTATATTCATTACTGCCTGAGGATAAGGATGGGGCCTATTACAAGGTTTCATGAGGTTATTTAAAACAGTTTGGTGGTCACTGAAAAGTAGTTCCTAGGTCACAGACAGTTGGAAAAAAAGACAAATATAGTCAGAGGAAAAGCAACTAAGTTACATTTGGTTGTCTGGTGAAATGTGAACAGCAGTTCAATGGGTCTGCGCTGTTAAAATTCAAAGACAATAGACAGTAAGCATTGGAGTCAAGGCTCTAGAAATATCCATGGAGCTGTATTGGCTGAGAAGATGCAATGTGCCACTAATAGTTCAGTATAATTCTGAACAAAGATGAAAGAAACCCACAAGCAATAGATTAGAGCTCAGGAAACAAACACCAGGCAGTACTAGCTTGATGAAACTCGCCTTTAATGAAAGATTGGAGTTGTGCCTGTGAGTAAGTGCTCGACTAGAGTTTCCAAGAATCCAGGGTAGCAAGGTGTCAACGAAGGAAAGTGAACCACCAAAACATGAATAGTCATTGAGGTTGTCCATGACAGTATGGATTTTGAAGGGGTGTCAAGGTCATGTCATCAAAAATAGAGGTCATAGAGTTGTACAGTGCAGAAACAGACCCTTTGATCCAACCCGTCTATGTCGACCAGCTGTCTGAAATTAATCTAGTCCCATTTGCCAGCATTTGGTCCATATCCCTCTAAACTGATACTATTCATGTACCCATCCAGATGACTTTTAAATGTTGTAATTGTTCCAGCCTCCACCACTTCCTCTGGCAGCTCATTCCATACATACACACCCTCTGCATGAAAAAATTGCCCCTTAGTTCCCCTTTATATCTTTCCCCTTTCGTCTTAAACCTATGCTCTCTAGGGTTGGACTCCCCTACTCTGGGGAAAAAGACCTTGTCTACTCACCTTGTCCATGCCCGTCATGATTTTATAAACTTCTATAAGGTCACCTCTCAGCCTCTGACGCTCCAGTGAAAATAGCCCCAGCCTATTCAGCCTCTCCCTTTGGCATAAACCCTCCAATCCCAGCAACATCCTTGTTTAACAACATCTTTCCTACAGCAGGGAGACCAGAATTGAACGCACATTTCCAGAAGTGGCCTAACCAATGTCCTGTACAGTCGCAATATGACAGTCCCAATTCTTATACTCAATGCACTGACCAATAAAGGTAAGCGTACCAAATGCCTTCTTCACTATCCTGTCTACCTGGGACTCCACTTTCAAGGAACTGTGAACCTTCACCCCAAGGTCTGTTTGTTTGACAACACTCCCTAGGACCTTACCATTAGATTTCTAAGACCTGCCCTGATATGCCTTACCAAAATGCAACACCTCACGTTATCTAAATTAAACTCCATCTGCGACTCCTCGGCCCATTGGCCTGTCTGATCAAGGTCCCGTTGTACTCTTGAGATATCCTTCTTGATTGTCCACTACACCACCAATATTGATGTCATCTGCAAACTTGCAAATCACACCTCTTATATTCACATCCAAATCATTTCTATAAATGACGAAAAGCAGTGGACCCAGCACAGATTCTTGCGGCATGCCTCTGATCACAGGCCTCCATTGCAAAAATCCACCTTCCACTGTCACCCTCTGTCTCCTATTTTCAAGCCAGTTTTGTATCCAAATGGCTAGCTCTCCCTGGATTCCATATGATCTAACCTTGCTAACCAGTCTACCATGCAGAACCTTGTTGAATCCCTTGCTGAAGTCCATATAAAGAACATTCACCATTCAACCGTCTTTGTCACTTCTTCAAAATTTCAATTAAGTTAATGAGATATGATTTCCCACACACGCAGCCATGTTGACTATCCCGAATCAGTCCTTGCCTTATTAAATACATGTAAACCCTCTTCCACGGAATCCCCTCCAACAACTTACCCACAACTGATGTTAGGCTTTAACAGTCTGTAGTTCCCTGGCTTTTCCTTACCACCTTAATTAATAGCACCTCATTAGGCATCCTCCAATCTTCCGGCACCTCACCCATGGCTATCAATGAGATAAATATCTCAGCAGGGTGCCCAGCAATCGCTTTCCTAGCTTCCCACAAAGTTCTGCGATACACCTATCAGGTCCCAGGGATTTATCACCTTTTTGTGTTTTAAAATGTCAAGCACCTGCTTCTCTGTAATATGGACATTTTTCAAGATATCACCATTTATTTCTCCAAGTTCTTCACCCTCTATATTCTCCACAGTAAATACTCCTTTTGTATCTCACCTGTCTCCTGTGATTCCACATGAAGAGGACCTTGTTGATCTTAAAGGGGCCCTATTTTCTCTTTGGATACTCTTTTGTCCTTAATGTGTTTGTAGAATCTCTTTGGATTCTCCTTTACCCTATTTGTCAAAGCTATCTCACGTCTCCTTTTTGCCCTCCTGATTTCCCTCTTGAGTATACTCCTACTGCCGTTATACTCCTCTAGGGATTCACTCGATCCCAGCTGTCTATACCTGACATATGCCTCCTTTTTCTTGACCAGAACCTCAATTTCTGCAGTCATCCAGCATTCCTACACCATCTAGCCTTATCTTTCACACCAACCGAATGAAGAATCGTAAACTCTTGTGAGATTTGGTGACCGGCGGAGTTACTAATGTCTAGGGTAGATTGCTAAGAAATCCACAGGACCTCTCTTCATCACATTTGTTATTTGATGTGTTCTGTGGGGTGTTCAACCGTTGTTTCTCTGTTACCCATATTTGGCTCATGTTAAGTTTTTGTGATATTAGAATATATCATATCTATCTTGACATAGTCTAACCCTTTTCTTCGTTAGCAATCTTTGCATGGTTAAGTTTAATTTATTCTTTGTTGACTAAAGAAACCTTGCTAAATTGTTTCTAACATTAAACCAGATAAAGTCATATAACTATATAATTGTCCTCTCATTATCCTGGTTAAATTTAAAATTTGTTGTGGTCAATGGAGGAATGGGATACAAAAGGAATTGGTGCACCTTTCAAACCTTTGTCTTAACAGTACTTAACAGAATAAAAGCTGTTACATTTCTACATTTATTCCAATTCTAATGAAAGTTCAACATGAAACACTGACTTTGTTTCTCTCTCCATAGATGCTACATGACCTGCTGAATACTTCCAGCATTTTGTCTATTTATTTCAGATTTCCAGCATCTTCCTGCATTTTGTCCTTGCTATTTTTTTAAAGTCTAGGTTTTCCAGAATTTTATAATTTTAATGTTTTAAACATGTTATTTCTAGCTCTGTATGATGACTTAATGGGAATAGGGTAATGTTAATTGTAAACACCATAAGATTATTGCTAAATTTGATTGGATGATTCCATGATACTTTCTGGTTCATGAGTTTTCAAGAAAACAATTGAGGGATTAAATTACTTGATTTTCTGCTTTATACTCATTGCTAATTGATACTTTGCATTATTCTTGATTTATAGAGGAATAGAGTCATACAGCATGGAAACAGACCCTTCAGCCCAACTAGTCCATGCTGATCATGTCCCCAAACTAAACTAGTCTCACTTGGCTGCATTTGGCCCATATCCCTCCAAACCCTTCCTATTCATGTACTTATCCAAATATCTTTTAAATGTTGCAACTGTACCTGCATCTACCAGTTCCTTTGGCAGTTTGTTCCACACGCAAAACACTCTTCTTGTAAAAAAAGTTGCCCCTCATTTCCTTATTAAAACTTCGTCCTCTCACTTTAAAAATATGCACCCTAGTCTTGAACTTCCCCACCCTATGGAAAAGACCCTTGCTCTTCAACTTATCTATGTCTCTCATGATTTTATAAATCTCTACAACCTCAACCACCTACACTCCAGTGAAAAAAAAGTCCTAGCCTATCCAGCCTATTTTTATAACTCAAATCCTCCATTTTGGACAACAACTTGGTGAATCTTTTCTGAACCCTCTTCAATTTAATTATCCTTCCTATAGCAGGGTGACCAGAACTGCACACAGTACTCCAGATGAAGCCTCACCAACATCCTGCACAACCGCAACATGACATTCCAAACCCACACTCAAAGATCTGTGCAATGAAGGCAAGTGTGCTAAATGCCTTCTTAACCACCATTTACCTGTGATACAAACTTCAAAGAATTATGTAACTGAACCCCTAGATCTCTGATCTACAACACTACCCAGAGCCCTACCATTAATTGTGTAAGTCCTGTCCTTTTTGTTTGAATTTATTTACTTGAACTGTTAACCAGCTAATTTTTTAAAAAAAATTATTTCATGGGATATGAGAGTTGCTGGCAAGGCCAGGATACTTTGGCCATTTCTAATTGCCCTTGGAAAGGTGGTTGTGAGCTGCCCTCCTGAACCACTGCTGTCCATTTAGTGTAGGTACAGTCATAGTGCTGTTGGGAAGAGGGTTTAGATTTTGATCCAGGAACAGTGAAGGGACCACAATACCGTTCAATGACAGAATGATATGGGTCTTGGAGGGGAACTTAGTAGTGCACGCATGCATCTGCTGCCTTTGTCCTTCTAGGTGAAGGTGTTTCTGCTTTGAAAGTTGTTGTAGAAAAAACCTTGGTGAGTTGCTGCAGACTGCTGCCAGTCTACATTGGTGGTAAAGGGAGTTGGATGGAGTTCCAATCAGGAAACTTACTTTTCCCTGGATTTTGTCAAGCTTCCTGACCATTGTTAGAGCTGCCTTCATTCAGATGAGTGGAGAGTATTTCATCACCCTCACAACTTGTTCCTAATTGATAGTTCCAGGCATTGGGGAATCGGGAGGTGAGCTACTCGCTGAATAATTTCTAGCTTCTGACCTTTTCTTGTAACCACAGAATTTGTCTAGCTGGTCATTTTCAGTTTCTATTCAGTGGTAACACATAGGATGTTCATGGGCAAGGGTTGTTTTGCGAAGGCAAGGAAATTAATTTCAGTGGAAGATGGTTAGTTTTTTTTTTAGTAAAAACCGAAAGAACTACTGATACTGCAAATTGGGAACAAAAACAGAATTTGTTGGGTAAGCTCAGCAGGTCTGGCAGCATCTGTGAAGAAAATATCAGAGTTAATGTTTCAGGTCCAGTGACCCTTCCTGAAATGTTAACTCTGATTGTTTCTTCACAGATGCTGCCAGACCTGCTGAGCTTTTCCAGCAACTTCTGTTTTGGTTAGATTCTCCTGTTGGATATGGTGATTGCTTGAGACTTGTGTGTTACAAATGCCATTTATTACTTGTCAGTTTAAGCCTGAATGTTGATGACATCCACATCTCATGAATGAACGGTGGCAAATACATGGGAACACTACCATCTTCAAGTTCCCTTCCAAACCACTCACCATCCTGACTTGGAAATATATCACCATTCCTTCACTGTCGCTGGGTCAGAATCCTGGAATTCCATCCCTAATGGCATTGTGGGGCAACCTACAGCAGGTGGACTGCAGCAGTTCAAGAAGGCAGCTCACACTCCCCACCTACACTCACCTTTACTGGCTCCATCCCTGCCTCTTCGACCTGTTTGTTTCCTCTCCACCTATCCTCTCCTCTATCCATCTTCTATCCGCTTCCCACTCTCTCCCTATTTATTTCAGAACCCCCTTCCCCTCCCCCATTTCTGATGAAGGGTCTAGGCCCGAAACGTCAGCCTTTCTGCTCCTATGATGCTGCTTGGCCTGCTGTGTTCATCCAGCTCTGCACCTTGTTGTCTCGGATTCTCCAGCATCTGCAGTTCCTACTATCATGGGCATATTACTGTTTTATCAAATGTTTTTTGTTGAACTTTATAGAAATACTTGCAAAGTCTATTATCTTGCTAACGTCTATAGTTGGAACACAGAATGTAATGCTTCTGTTGCATTTGGCTTCAACTACATTTTCATGTGATACATCTTGTTCAACAGCCAGGAATATTCCATATTTGTGGGCGATCTCTCTTCTGACGTTGATGATTTTCACCTCTATGATTACTTTGTGAAAAAATATCCATCTTGTAGAGGTGGAAAAGTGGTGACAGACATATCTGGAAACTCAAGGTATTCTAACTGTTTTGTGTCAATGCTTAGAACTTACACTTCTGCAGACACCTTAGAGAAAGGCTTCTCAGCAAACTGCAATTATCAGTGTAATTTGTATGTCTTTGTATTAAATGCTGTGAAATTTAGTTGTAACTTAATGATTATTAAATGGCCATTTTATCATATGCTATGAAACAGCCCTTTTATTTATAAACCACAGTGGCTAATGAAAAACATGCCATATGTTGAATTAAAACATTCTTTCTATCCCAGCCAGGATTAACAAGCATCCCAAATACTTGGACTGATAGTACCTCAGATGTAAAATAATAACACTAATATTATGTGGTTCAAACCATTTACAATCTGGTGATGCAAGCAGTTCATACCATAAGATGGCTGCAGTGTAAACAGTTATTTGTTCTTCTTTTATTAGAGGTTTTGGGTTTGTCAGGTTTTCTGATGAAGCAGAACAGAAAAAAGCTTTAGAAGAATGTCAGAACAGCAAAGGATTAGGAGGAAAGCCAATCCGAATAAGCATAGCAGTACCTAAAAGGTAAGCTGTACCATCCTGGTGTGGGAAATGGAATAACAAACTCTCAGGGTTTGAAGGAGGAATTAACCAGATTTCAGTCAATAAATGGGATTCAGATTATTACAAATGCATCCATATCATGGAGAACCAGAATAATCTTGAACTCTTAGCCTAAAATTTTTGGCAGAAACCAACTCCATATAAACTTTCCAATGAGAAATCTTGTCATATTCTTTCATGTAGGTCACAGGAAATGAAAGGAGCATTAAAGTGAAAACTTTACCAAGGGAAGAAAAACACAATAAGAAGCTGTAGGTGTAAAAATGTAACTAATCTCTTGTTACAAGACTCCCAGACAGTCAGGCAGAGTGAGAAATAAGTTTTTTCTAGGCAAATCTCAGAAGTTTAGAAATAATAGGATAATAATGAAGGGACTTCAACTTCCCCAATATTTACTGAGGTGGACAATGTATGAAAGGCAACAATTCAGAATTGTTAAAATGCATCCAGGAGAGTTTTGTTTAAGTTAGCATGTAAAAAAAGAGAGGGGATGATGCTGGGCTAATTTTAGGGAATGAATATGACATTGGTAAATGCGTCAGTGGAAAGCATAGCAGTGATAGAGACCATAATTCAGAAAGATTTAAGGTAATTGTTGATAAAGCTAAGGATGCCAGAAATAAAGGTTCTGAACTGGTGGCAGGCTGATTTCAATGTGATAAGGTTGGATTTGGCAATTGGCCTTGCAGAAAAATCCACATCAGAGCAATCATTCAAAAGGATGTTAGTGAGGGTGTTGGCCAGCATGTTTCTATGAAGGTGAAGAGTAGGACTAACCAATCTGGAGTAGTCTGGATATCAAGGGGTAAGTGGTATTGGATAAGGAGAAAAAGGAAGCTTATTGCAGATACTGAGGGCTCAAAACATTGGATGCCCTAGAGGAGTATAGAAAGTGCAATGGGTTATTTAAAAAAGAAATCGGAAAAGAGGAGATGCAGAAGTACTGGTGGGTAACATTAAAGAAAATCCAATGGCATTTTATAAGTATATTAAGGGCAGCAGAATCACCAGGGACAGAGTAGGGCGCATTAGGGACCGAAGTGGCAATCTGTGTTTTAGAAGGTTTTAGAACTATGGAACCACAGAAATGATACAGCACTGAAGGGGACCATTCAGCTCATCTAGTCCATGCCAAACCAAGAAACACAGATGCCCTTTCTAATCCCATCTTCCTGCACATGTCCACTGCCCTGCAGCTTACAGCACTTAAGGTGCAGATCCAGGTACTTTTCACAAGAGTTTAAGGTCTCTGCCTCCACCGCCAACTCAGGCAATGAATTCCAGATCCTCACCACGCTCTGCATAAAAAAAGTTTTTGTCATGTCCCATCTAATCCTTCTACCACTTGAATCTATGACCCCAGTTTTTGGATTGTCTGAGCAATAGGTTCCTTCCTGTAATGTGGTGACCAGAGCAGCATACAGTACTCCAATTGTGGCCTCAACAGCATCTTATACAGTTTCAAAGCCAGAAATCATACGACATCAGGTTATTGTCTGACAGATTTATTTAAAATTGCAAACTTTCGGAGCGCTGCTCCTTCGTCAGGTGAAATCACTGATGAAGGAGCAGTGCTCCAAAGCTTGTGATTTAAAGTAAACCTGTTGGACTATGACAGTTATTCTCTGGTTCGGCGCAGTGGCTCAGTGGTTAGCACTGCTGCCCCACAGTGCCAGCGACCCGGGTTCGATTCCACTCTCGAACGACTGTCTGTGTGGAGTTTCACATTCTCCCTGTGTCTGCATGGGTTTCCTCCGGGTACGCCAGTTTCCTCCCACAGTCCAAAGATGTGCAGGCTAGGTGGATTGGTCATACTAAATTTAGTCCTAAAAATGCATGGTGACGCATTTTGAAAGAACTAACAAGACGAGAGAATACATGGTGAATGATAGGACCTTATGAAAGACAGATGATTAAAGGGTTCTTGGTGTTCATGTCCATAGATCTTTGCATTTAGCTTTTCTGCTGCTTTCAAATTTTCAGGATATTAAGGAAAACAGATAGCATTGATGAGGAGAAAGTATTCTGGTGCATTGCAAGTCTAGGACTAGAAGACATGGTCTGAATTAAGACTTTTCAGAATAAAATAGAAAATATTTCCATATTTAAAAGGGGAGACTTTTCTGGACATAATAGGGATCTTGGCTGATAGCTGGAGATCAGTGAAAAATGATTGCCCCCTTTGGAGAAAGCCCAGTCAGGCAATTTACAGACTATCTGTAAGCCTTCCATGGGATCAGGACTCCAGGAACTGGAAGTGCCACTTGCCAGGAGCAAAAGGCCAGACGGTTTCAGAGCTGACTGCTGGAAATACACCCACAGAAGGGATAAGATTGTTGAATGATTCAGACCTGAGGGAAGTAATGGTGAAAGAGTTTAATCGTGGACTTAATGGTAATGGAGGTGAGAAGGTGTTGGGATCCCCTCACAACCGTATCCCACCCAATTAAATGCACTCCCTCCGAACCTGCAAGGGGTAGATATAAAATATTACCCAAAGGATAGTAGAGGTTGAGAAACTCTTCTGCAAATAGCAACAGATGCTAAATCATTTTTAAATTTTAAATTTGAGATTGATAGATTTTTGTTATCCAAATGTGTAGAGGGATATGAGGCAAAGGCAAATAAAGAATTAGTTTGCAGATCATCTATGATTTCAACAAATGGAACCGAGTCGAATGCAAAATTGGTGTTCTGTGGTTCTACCAACAGCAGAATTATATTCCACCACAATATTTAACCACATGCTCCCATCATATCCCTAATTCTACCATTCCCGTCAAGCCAGGTGAGCAATCTTGGTTCATTGAGGAGTATAAGAAAGCAAATCAGGAACAGCATCTTAAAAGCTCACCTAAAAATGAGCCTAAAAATTGACCTGGTGGAACTGCAGCACACACCATGCTTTTAAATAGTGGAAGAAGCATGCTAAAGATGGAATTAAGTGATTCCACAACCAATAGATCAGATAAAAACTCTTCAGTTCTACCACATCCATTGATGAATTGTTGTGGAGAGTTAAACAATGGGAGTAGAAAGCTCCATGAACGTGCTCATTTACAGTGATGGCAAAGGCTGTACAAAACACTGAATTAAGAGCTGAAGACCTGTATTTTAGAACTGCTTATGTCTTTACCCAAGGTGCTTCAATACAGCTACAACATTAACATCTCCCTGACAAAATGGAAAATTGCCCAGCCGTGTCCATCCAGTTAACCCTCTAGTCATTTTCTAATCAACTTATTCAGGATGTCCTCACCTCTGGAACAGTTGGACTTGAAACTGGGCCTCCTAGTTCATAAGTATAGACACTACCACTGCACAACAAGAGGCCCTCTAATTAACTCTATCACCTGCAGGTGTGTTTCTCTTGCATGCCCCAAATTTAGCAACTGCTGGTACCTCTCTATCAATCTAATCTCAGTAGGAACATTTAGCTACTTGTGCCTGTCCAGCCAGTGAAATCACGGGTGATTTGCAATCTAATACTAACTTTGACCTGTATCCCTTATTATCTTTGGTTAACACAAATCTGTCAACCTCAAATTTGCAATTAACAATTAATGTTCTATTTCTGGAAAAGTGTTCACGACTTCTACCACCATTGGTCCAAACAATTTTTCCTAATTTCAGCAGGTCTAGATGGTGGAAATCTGGAATAAAAACAGAAATTTTCAGAGAAGTGTTAGAGAAATTCTGCAGGTCTGGCAGCAACCGTGGAGAGAGAAACAGAATTAACATTTCAAGTCTGATCTGACTTCTTCAGAGTCGTGTCAGATTCAAAACTGTTTATTTCCCCACAAATGCTACCAGACTCACTCAGGTTCTCAAGCACTTTTTGGAATTAAGGTACAGGTGGGCGTTTTTTTTTTGAAAAGATAATTAAATAGCAGAGCAGGCTTAAGGACTGTTCCAGAGGGATATCCAAGTCAGACAGGTGAGAAATTTCATTTCACCAAGAATTGTCTTCTTAATCAAATGAACAGGTTAATACCAGTTTGTAATGAAAAATGAGCAGTTTTGTGTCTGACCAGATAGATTTTGCAAACAATTTAAGAATTTGGAGGATGAAGTGTTATAGTTTTAAAAACTTTCTACTCTTACTGATCCAGAATCTATTAATCTATCTCAGCCTTAAATACTTTTGCCCCACAGCTGTCTGTGGTGAGGAGTTCCAAAAACACGCAACCCTCAAGAGAAGAAGTTCTTCCTCATTTCAGTCTTAAATTGGTACCCCTTTATATAAGACTATACCCTCTGATCCTAGACTCTCCCACAAGGGGAAACATGCTCAGTATTTCAAGGGGGGTGGGTCTGGGTGCGATGCTCTGAGGGTTGGTGTGGACTAGTTGGGCTGAAGGGCCTGTTCCCACACTGTAGCGATTCTATGATTCTATGATTTACTCTGTTTGTGATCGGTATAATGACCAGGATTTAGCATTTAACAACAAAGCAAGGACGACAGCTACAGATTTTGAAGAAAGTTGTCTGCAAATATCTAGCAATCTGAGACAGAGATTTCCCTATTCCCTAATGTAGTTTAAATCTGACATCAAATGTTTGATGTGCAGCAGTTGTGATGTCAACAAACTGGTAGGCAACCAATCAAATAGAAGTATTCACACCATTTGGGAAGCTAATTGGACTTAATTTCTTTCATTTTCAACTTAGCTTTCTAGAGAGTTAAAATTAAGTCCAGAATAGTTGTCAGTTTCAGTGTAATAATGATTGTAAAGGCTGACTGGCTTCTTTACCAGCACAAAGTCGAGACCTATTTCTTTTACAAATGAAGATTTAATGAGTTGCTAACCAAATAGGAAATATCATCACCTTTGCCCTGACCCCAGTATACACTTAAGAATTTACAGGTTAGACATTAGTGGTGTGAAAATAATCCTTTCTTGCTTTTTTAAAGGGGTATAGGGAAAGAGTAAGAGAATGGCATGGAAATAGAACAGTAGCCATGATCTTAGTGAATGACAGAACAAGTTTGATGGGCCAAATGACCTATCTTACTCCTATTTTCTGCATTTCTAAACTGACTATTGCAGTTTGAACCTTCAGTATATATTTCTTTCTGAAGTGACTTGGCCTACACAGACGTCTAAAGAGAATTCCAAAGATTCATCATCCTCCTAGTGAAGAAACTTCCATTCCGTCCAATATGGCCAATGCTATATCCTGACACCATGTCCCTTGTTTGAGATAGGCAAAACATAATCCCTATAACCAGTCTGTTCAGTCCTTTCAAAATTTTACATATTTCACTGAGATCCCCCTTCATTCTTCTAAACTCGTGAATACAGCCCTAGTCAACCCACGTAAAACAAAGAACTACAGATGGCACAATTGTCTGAGGTAAAGTTTGTGCCTGACTTTGAACATTGTCTTCTCTTTTTTTTTCTCTCCCTCTTTCTTTTAAATTTTGACATGTATTGGTTATCTGCTTGACTTTACTGGAAAATATTTTTCAATTTCAGCAGAATTCCACAATTACTGATGAAGCTGAAGAGGAGCCTGTAGAAGCCTTGGGGCGGCACGGTAGCTCAGTGGTTAGCACTGCTACCTCACAGCGCCAGGGGCCTGGGTTCGATTCCAGCCTCGGGCAACTGTCCATGTGGAGTTTGCACATTCTCCTCGTGTCTGCATGCATGCTTCCTCCAGGTGCTCTGGTTTCCTCCCACAGTCCAAAAATGTGCAGGCTAGGTGGATTGGCCATGGAAAATTGTCCAGTGTTCAGGGATGTGTAGATTAGGTGGGTTATTTGGAGATGGGTTTGGGTGAGATGCTCTGAGGGTCAGTGTGGGCTTGTTGGGCCAAAGGGCCTGTTTCTACACTGCAGGGATTCTGAGATGCTGGAAGTCTGAAAGAAAAATAGAAATTGCTGGAGAAACTGGAGAGTTTAGTAGCATCTGTGGAGGGAAGGCAGAATTAACATTTTGAATCCAGTGACCCTTTTTCTAGTCAATCCAATCTCTTCTCATACAATAATTCCGCCATAGCAGGAATTAGTCTTTTGAACCTTGCCTGCACTGATTCTGTATTAAGTATATCCTTTCTTAGGTAAGGAGACCAAAACTACACATGTAGTCACCGCCATACCCTGTGCAGCTGCAGTAAGACATTCCTGCTCCTGTACTCAAATCTTCATGCAATAAAGGCCAAAATACCATTAGCATTCCTAACATGAATGCTTGCTTTCAGTAATTTGTGTTTAAGGATGCCCAGATTCCCTTGTGCATTAATATTTCTCAATCTATCACTATTTAAATAATAATAACAAATAATACTCTGCCATTCTGTTTTTTTTCTATTGTAATAGACAACTTCACACTTGCGTATGCAATACTGCATCTGCTGTGTATTTTCCCACTAAGTTTATGTTCTTGAGATAAAAGTTGTCAAAGATATTTTATCCTGATTTTGATCATTTCTTAATATCTAGGAATCAACATTACATCATTACATCATTAACATTGGCATTGTGCAAATATTCCTTTTAAGCAATTCCAACTATTTTGATTAGTTTATTATAATTCCCAAATTAGATTAACAATCAACACATTACAAATAATTCACAGCTGTAGTTGATAAATGTGGCTGTCAGTGAATTGATCAAGATTCAATAAAAGATAAGGCATTACAGCTGATCAGCTTTTTTTTCCTATTTAACTGGTGAATGTGTGTCTTATTAGTCACTTAGAGAGTTAAGCATGGCTTTCTGTAGTGATCAGGCAGAGCTTGTAGAAACCTCTCACAATATATACTGGTACTGGCAAAGGTGAGTTACAATATTTGAATGCCTGGTGCTTAAAAAATGGCATGTGAATGTTATTTCTTCTCCAGATTAGTGTTCCTAACTTTGGCCTGTTGAAGTACATGACTGAGATTCTAACCTAGACTTTGGAAACCTGTAGGCATGTGCTGCAAAATCAATGATTGATTTAGAAGTGATTTGTTCCTTTGTCACTTGTCTGGACTACAATTAAAGGATATGACTTAATTTGGATATAATGTGTAATTTCAGTGCAAAAACCAAGCCAGAATACCAACCAACTGCCACTTACAACTATACACAATACTATCAACAGTTTTACTCTCAATGGGGTTATGATCCCTATGGCAGCTACAACTATGGGTACCCGCAGTATGGCAGTACTGAAACACCACCAGTAACTTCTTCCCTGATCACAGAAATGGCACAGCTGTCTGAGGTAAAGTTTGTGCCTGACTTTGCACATTGTCTTTGTCTTTTTTTTTTCTTTTTCTCCCTCTTTCTTTTGAATTTTGACATGTATTGGTTATCTGCTTGAGTTTACTGGAAAATATCTTTCAGTTTCAGCAGAATTCCACAATTACTGATGAAGCTGAAGAGGAGCCTGTAGAAGGTAAAAACAATGTTTTGTATTATTCTGTTTATTTGTACCACACTATGGGGTCCTCCATGGAATTTAAAAATACTTGTGACTTAAATGTAGGTATATGTTGTATTTATTTACAGCTTGTGCAATAATTGTAAAGAACCACTTCTAAGCTGGATCCTGGCATGTGATTTGAGTAGATACATAATGATGTGGATATTAGTGGTGAATGTTTTTGGACTTCTGACTACTGCTGATGCTAGACCATTAACAGGCATGCAAGAGACAATATTTAAATTCCATGTTTTGTGATCATTAGACATCCTACAGTGAATGAAGGAAGTAAGCTAACCAATTTTCCTCTTAGATATAAACAGATCACGTTTCTAATTAGCTTGATGTAATCAATGGTGCATGACCGATGCTACTGGGGCCTCCACTGTTTACAGTTTATACAAATGACTTGGGTGACTGGACTCCATTTGGTATTTATTGCTAATTCTGATGACTCAAGAAGTGAGCAGGAAAGTAAGTGTCAAGAAGACCTAATGGAGGCAACAAAGGAGTAGGTGTGTGGGCAAAAACCTTGCAAACAGTATTATGTGGGAAAATACAAAATTATCTATTTTGGCAAGAAGAATATAAAGACACTAACTGTGTAATTGGTATGAGATTACAGAGTGGTTTGAATCTCTTCATGTGTGAATCGCAAAAGGATACGGTGTAGGAAATTAAGAAAACTAATAAAAAATTTTTTTTGCAAAGGGAAAATTTTTAATCTTTTTTAAGAAAAGAAAAAAATCCTGTTTTTAGTTATGCAGGATTTTAGTGAGACCAGGTGTGGAGTATCAGTCCCTTTTGTTTTTCAGGAAGAATGTAAAGGTTTTGGAAGCAGTTGAGAAGCTTTTCCAGATTAGTACCCGGAATGGGTGGGTTACCTTGAGGAAAAGCTGCAAGAGCCTTTGGAGTTTAGGAGAGTAAGTCATGGTTTGAATGAGGCCTGTTAACTGCAATGTGCCTTTTTGACAGGCACATAAATTTAACGCTTAGTGATCCAGACTAACTGGTGATGTGAGTTCAAATCCAACCATGTCTGATCAATTTTGATTGAATTCAAATTCAAAGCCAGGCTAAAGTGACCTTGTAATGATCTGCTTTACTAATGTAGTTCAGGGAAGGAAATCTGTCCCTACCTGGTCCAGGCTCCATGTGACTCAGCAACCGTGCTGTTGGCCTGGTAACCTGAATCGTGGTAAAGATATTTCTTCTGGGTGAATTTGGAACTAAGAGTCAATGTGTGGTTTTTTTTTGGGAGTTGAGGATCTTTGAATCCCCTCTTTCCCCAAAGCTGAAACACAGCCTTTGAATATTTTTAAGGTAGGGGTAGATCCTTCATGAGCAAAAGTAGATTTGAAGCTAGTTTGGAAAAAGATCCAATTATCTTCAGCTGCTTCAATGACCTTCACTTCATCAAATGGAGAGAGGTGGAGATGTTTTGATTATTGCATAATGTCCAGCATCATTCGTGAGCAAAGCAGTCTGTGCTCAATAGCAGCAAGACCTGGACAATACTCGAGTTTGGGCTGACATTTACACTACACAAGTGCCAGGCAATGATCGTCTCGGAAAATCTAACCATTACCCCTTGACATCAATGTTAGTATCAACATTCAGGGGGCTAACAAGTGACCAGAGAATGAATTGGATCAAAATGTGGCATTTTGCAGCCACATGACTCCCAAAGCCTGCTCATAATCTAAAAGACTCGAGTGAGGAGTGCAATTGATTGCAGCTTCAACAACACTTGTCACCATCTAGGATAAAGCAGCTCACTGAAGTGACATCACATCCACTCTTCTTCGCCCCCCCCCAGCATCAGTCAGTCGCAGTAGTGTGTACTGTTGAAAGATGCACTGCAGAAGTTCACCAAGGGTCCTAAGATAGCACCTTCCAAACCCACAGCCACTACAATCTAGAAGGACAAGAACAAGCAGATTCTCTTCCGAGCCACGCGCCATCCTGACTTTGAAATATATTGCTGTTCTTTAACTGTGACTGTGTCAAAATGCTGGAAATTGCTCCCAAACAACATTACAGGTGCATTTACACCAAATAGATACCAGTGGTTCAAGAAGGCACCTCCCACCATCTTCCCAAAGGCAACCTGGGATAGATGATAAATGCTAACCCAGCCAACAATGACCATGTTCATGATGTTTTTAAATTAGAACCAATTTGAAGGTTCATCTGTTTTTTTTTTTTAATAAATTCTGGGCTGAAAGGCTTATCTTGTGAAAGGTTTGGCCTATATCCATTAGGAATTCAGAATGAAGTGTGATCTTATTTAAATACATTCTGCGGGGACAAAAGATGGTGGATATTGTGATCTCCTGTCTTTAGGGAGATCAAAATTGGGAGCTGTTTTTAAGAGATCTTGCTATTTTCTCAGACACTTAGAATCCTCTTCCCTTGGGTCTTTACAGTGTTGCATTTCTTTCCCTAGAAAGTGGGAGGCTGGGTCTTGCATCAAATTTGAGGCTTAGATTTTTGGTAGATGAGTTATGGGGCACGACAAGAGAGTGGAGCTGAGACTGTAAGCCGATGGACCAGGCTCAAAAGATCCAATGACTTGCTCCTAAGTCATAGATTCTTAGTTCGGGAGTCTGAAAGTTCTTGAATGTGCATGTTGCTTATTCACAACTTGCATTGATACAGCTGCAGTGTCTTGAGGTTTTTATTTAAATCCTTTTGTTTGTGTGGACAAAAAGGTGTCACTTGTTTGAAATAAGTGAGTATAAGCATCAACTTTTTTTTCGTTTGAAGTGTAGAAAAAGTGTGTTTGCAGTTAATGGGTTGTCAGAGATGCTGGTGTCTGACAATGGTTCAGTTTATCAAAGCATTTGAATATTTGAGAATAGAATTTACCTACCCTAATATCACTCGCCCATTTTGGAATGATCCTGCAGAAAGACATTTTTCATACAGATTTGAAGAGAAGTGATAGGTGACAAACTAGATACTAATTTCCATACTTTGACACAGGATAGAATACTCTGCAGCTTATATCTGATTTAAACACAAAAGTAAGCAATCACACTTTTATTTTTCTCTATTCATTCTTGTGGATGTGGGCATTGCTGGCTGGCCAGCATTTCTTGCCCATCCTTGGTTGCCCTTGAGGAGGTGGTGGTGGTGGTGGTGGTGAACTGCATTCCTCCTGCTGTGGGTTGACCCACATGCTATTAGGGAGGGAATTCCAGGATTTTGCGCCAGCAACAGTGAAGGAACGGCAATTATATTTCCAAGTCAGGATGGTGAGTGACTTGGAGGTGGTGATGTTCCCATATATCTGCTGCCCTTGTCCTTCTAGATGGAAGTGGTCATGGGTTTGGAAGGTGCTGTGGTTTAACTTGCTTAAATCTGACATCAGTGACAAAGTAGGAGAAAAGCAAGTTGGTGTCAAGATGAGGCATGAAACTTGAATGCAATATTAGTAACAAGGGTATAGTGAAAAACCACCCAACATAATAAACAGAACTGGTTAGACTTGCTTGTAAAGTGATCTAACGAAAACTGGAGAAACACTGGTATCCTGTAGATCTTTCTGGTAAAAGAGGAAATCTGTTAAAAAGGAGCATGAGAAATTGCTCATGATCTTTCTCCTTCAGTTCAAGCAAAATTCACAAAGAAACTGGAAACTGCTGGTTTCACAGAATCCACATGTATAGCCACGTGAGTCAAGATCTTAAAGACAAATCAATCTATGTCAGAGCCCCCCACCTATTAAACAGTTGAAGTTCAGTTTTAACATTGCAGATATTAAGAATTTATAGTTTAGCTCAGCCATTCTCTGTTTCTTTACTGTGACAATTTTGGACATCTAATATTATACTTTCATTTAAGTGAAAGCAAACGTACAAACCAACCTGTTAAAATGCATGGTCAAAAGTAATGCCACACCAGGCTATAGTCGAACAGGTTTACTTGAAATGACAAGCTTTTTGGAGCACTGTCCCTTCAGGGCAAACCTGATGAAAAGGCAGCACTCCAAAAGCTTGTGATTTCAAATAAACCTGGTGTCATGTTATTTTTGAACTTGACCACCCCAGTCCAGTACGAGGAGCTCAACATCATGCTAAATTTCAGGTACAGTTGAGGTTGGTTTAGTCACTTTTTTGATTAAAATATGCCCTTTCTACTACCTTTTTGGACTGAACGGAGAAGGGATGTAATATTTTAATACCTGAGCATTGTTATTTTGCATTCTCTTTCCCTGTCTTCTGGGAATGTGCAAATAAAATGTAATTATAGCTGCTTACAGTGAATGCATGTGATGTGTTCTCCATGCAATGTGTATTTGAAATTTCAAAGTCATCAACATGATGCCCCACTAAGTTATTACGGTGGATCACCTTTTTGAGGCTAATCTTGAGTCCAATTAAGTGAGACATCAGCTGTGATTATAACACTACCAATTTCATTATTACTGGATAAGTCAGATCGTACACTGTCTTGCTTTTAACAATGTCTTCTGTTTCTCTAAGACTGAAGCACACAATGTTACAGATTCTTTTAACAATAAATTAAGTCTAAGCAAAACATCAGAGATAAAATAGAATAAACAAGTTCCCAAAAAAAAAAATCCTTTGTACAGCATCTTTTTCTCTAACACCTCCATAAATTCAAGGTAACTGCAACTTTAAATCCTTGTGTGGAAATGCTGATTGACTCATTCCTGGTGTTATCACACAACTGAGTTTTAAACTCCGCTTCCAAGTCCTCTTCAGAGTTTTATCCCAAATCTCCGGTCTGGGACTAACCCTCCAATCCATACTCTACTCAAGTAACCTGGTTTCATTATATTTTCCCCTTCTGGGAACACCGCTCTGAATGCATCTGTATTCAAGGATCTCATGGAATTGCTCTGCTCCGAAGTAACACTGACCCTCCTCTGAGATTTGGGTGTTTCCATTTTTCGTTTTCTAAAACGAAACTCATCCTCCCAAAAATTTAACAGACCTTGAAGT